ATATATATATATATATATATGTATATATATGTATATATATGTATATATATATGTGTGTTTTTATGTTGATTTATCTGACAGGTGTAATGTGTTTTGCTATAGTGTTGAGAAAGTTGGTTTAGATTAGTTTTATTTTAAATTTATTAAAAGAAAAAGGTTTGAATTGTCAAAACAACATTAAGAATGTTTTGACATTAAAAAAGACACAATTCATATTTATTTAGAGATCCATTTATTTCAAATCCAACTCAAAACATCCAGTAAAAAGTTAATTCTGTACAAAGTCCAGCACTTGAGGCCACCTCTGTGATGCCACTCATGAGAATAAATGTGGACGGGTTTAGGAAACAGATCCTGAAGCTGGGACTAAAAAAAGAGACAACCGTCCCAGTAAATATCAAAAAGCTCTGCCAGTGCAATAACATTTTGCATAATTTGGCACCATCAGAAGTAAAAATACTTGATTAATAAACAGAAAAGCTGTTCAACGCTATGAAAAAAGCCATTATTTCCTTGGTAAACATCCTTTTATAATAGCAAACAACACTATACTCTTTTGGCTTTATAATGTAATACTTCATCGGTTTATCTCTGGAAGTTCATTATTTTGCAGAGAAGCAAACCTTTATATACAAGCAACAAAAAAATAAAAAAGAAGATCATCAATATTTATATTCACACAATGACAATATAAACTTGGCTTTTAATTGATTAATTTCAGTAGTATCAACATGGATGGAGCTGCAGAGGAGAGGAGCACCGAGGAAGGATCAAGTTCACTCAGTCAGTGTGACAACAAGAGAAATTCAGTCTGTATCTTGTTTTTATTTTTTGTTTTCATGCTAATTATTTGGATGTGACGTCTTCAAGATGTATTTCTGTTCCTTTCATTTGCTGACGTTTGTTTGAGTGCAGCCAGTAAAGTCGGTGCAGAAAACATAAATACTGTAAGTGTCAGTCATCATGTCATCACGTCTTGTTGCTTAATTCACTGAGAGCTTCAACTGTGAGCATCATGACTGAGCCTGGCTGTCTGACTGTGGGAACTGCTGAAGCTTAAAACCTGCCAGAGTAGCTAAACAGAAAACCAGTCAGCAGCTGGATTTAAGAACAGCGAGTCACTTTAGTTCAACTTTCCAGGAGAAAAAAATCCCCTATATGTATTTTTTTTTTCCATTGCAAGAAGTTAAACGTCTTTGGATTTTAAGTAATGTGGCACTTGCAGATTGTGTTTCTTGTGCCACACTTAGAATAAAACAATAAAAAAAAAAAAATTTTAAATGGTAACAAACGCTTCCATTATGTTTTGCGTGGTCAGACTTGAGGAGGAAACAAAATTTTTTTGTTTGGAATGTCAAATGAAGGCAAAGACCCTGAAAATGTTAGATTTTTGGTGGAAACACTTTGAAAGAGAATCATACACTTGAAAAAAAAAAAGACAATAAAGGACACATTTAACTATTTTAGTATGTAAAAATAGTTTTTACTGGCTCAGAATGCATTGTCATCAGTGGGATGTGTGGAGACATTTTGTTTGATATTGTTTATTATCATTATCAAAGAAAATCGAGAGAACCGTGTTTTAATTCTTTGTTAAAATTAATGTTACTGTCCCACTGACTGTTTTATTGTCCAGTTTGTTGCATCTATTGTGTTTGGTACCACTCTTATTCTTTCCTAACAAGTATAAAAACTAAAATGGGAAGCCTGTTGAAGACTTGACATCTGGATTTACTTACTCATTATCAGCATTTTTTTTTTTACATAAAAAGAAAAGCATATACAGGTGCTGGTCATAAAATTAGAATATCATGAAAAAGTTTATTTATTTCAGTAATTCCATTCAAAATTTGAAACTTGTTTTATTATATTCATTCATTACACACAGACTGACATATTTCAAATGTTTAATTATTTTAATGTTGATGATTATAACTGACAACTAATGAAAACCACAAATTCAGTATCTCAGAAAATTAGAATATTGTGAAAAAGTTCAATATTGAAGACACCTGGTGCCACACTCTAATGAGCTAATTAACTCAAAACACCTGCAAAGGCCTTTAAATGGTCTCTCAGTCTAGTTCTGTAGGCTACACAATCATGGGGAAGACTGCTGACTTGACAGTTGTCCAAAAGACGACCATTGACACCATGAACAAAGAGGGCAAGACACAAAAGATCATTGCTAAAGAGGCTGGCTGTTCACGGAGCTCTGTGTCCAAGCTCATTAATAGAGAGATTGAAGGGAAGGAAAAGATGTTGTAGAAAAAAGTGTATAAGCAATAGAGATAACTGCACCCTGGAGAGGATTGTGAAACAAAACCCATTCCAAAATGTTGGGGAGATTCACAAAGAGTGGACTGCAGCTCGAGTCAGTGCTTCAAGAACCACCACGCACAGACGTATGCAAGACATGTGTTTCAGCTGTATCATTCCTTGTGTCAAGCCACTCTTGAACAAGAGACAGTGTCAGAAGTGTCTCGTCTGAGACTGCTGCTGAGTGGTCCAAAGTTATGTTCTCTGATGAAAGTACATTTTGCATTTTTTTTGGAAATCAAGGTCCCAGAGTCTGGAGGAAGAGAAGAGAGACACATGTTCCACGTTGCTTGCTCAGTGTCAAGTTTCCACAGTCAGTGATGGTTTGGGGTGCCATGTCATGTGCCACGGGGAGTGGTGGCACAGAGGTTAGAGAAGGTGTGCCTGTGATCGGAAGATCGCCGGTTCAAGCCCCGGTACGGACAACATCAAAAATGTGGGTGGGGTAGGTGAAGCACACACACCTGCCCCCACTTTCATTTGCCTCACTCTGGGCCCATGAGCAAGACCCTTAACCCCCATCTGCTCCCTAAACAGTTCTCTCTTGAAAATATATTATCATGGCTCAATGAGTCTACCTGTATAAATAAAGGGTACATGAAAAAAAGTTATCTACTGGTGTTGGTCCACTGTGTTTTCTGAGGTCCAAGGTCAACACAGCCGGAAGTTTTAGAGACTTCATGCTTCCTGCTGCTGACCAACATTATGGAGATGCAGATTTCATGTTCCAACAGGACTTGGCACCTGCACACAGTGACAAAGTTACCAGTACCTGGTTTAAGGACCATGGTATCCCTGTTCTTAATTGGCCAGCAAACTCACCTGACCTTAACACCATAGAAAATCTATGAGGTGTTGTGAAGAGGAAGATGTGATACACCAGACCCAACAATTCAGAAGAGCTGAAGGCCACTATCAGAGCAACCTGGGCTCTCATATCACCTGAGCAGTGACACAGACTGATCGACTCCATGCCACGCCGCATTGCTGCAGTAATCCAGACAAAAGGAGCTACAACTAAGCATCGAATGAAGTGCATGCTCATACTTTTCATGTTCATACTTTTCAGTTGGCCAATATTTCTAAAAATCCTTATTTTTATTGGTCTTAAGTAATATTCTAATTTTCTGAGATACTGAATTTGGGGTTTTCATTAGTTGTCAGTTATACTCCATCCATCCATCCATTATCTTTACCCGTTTGTTCCATTTTGGGTCACGGGGGTCGCCGGTGCCCATGTCCAGCAATCACTGTGCGAGGGGCGGGGGACACCCTGGACGGGTCTCCAGTCCATCACAGGGCCACATAGAGACAAACGAGACAAACAACCATTCACTCTCTCACTCACACCTAGGGACAATTTAGAGTTACCAATCAGCCTAACGTGCATGTTTTTGGTCTGTGGGAGGAAACCGGAGCACCCGGAGAAAACCTACGCATGCACGGAGAGAACATGCAAACTCTACCCAGAAAGGCCCCTGGACCGGGGTTTGAACCAGGGACCTGCTCGCTGAGAGGCAGCATCTCTACCAGTTGCGCCACCGTGCTGCCCGTCAGTTATACTCATCAACATTAAAAGAAATAAGCATTTGAAATATATCAGTCTGTGTGTAATGAATGAATATAATATACAAGTTTCACTTTTTGAATGGAATTACTGAAATAAATCAACTTTTTCATGATATTCTAATTTATGACCAGCACCTGTATTAGTTTCTTGTAGGAGTGTCCCATGTTGCAGAGGAATATTTTAAGTTTTCAACCTTGAATTAAGAGCTTGGGTATAGGTGTACGAATAAGAAAAAGGGTAAAGGGACTCGGCTATACCAGCCAGAACACTAATGAAGCCGGGTTTTGGCTCCAAACTGATTCCAACTCTGGTGACAGTTCAGCTCTGAAGGCGTGCTCATTAATTCAGACACTCCTGCAATCGCTGCTCCCTGCACTTATGCAGTTTGGCTCTTAAATCAGCACATTAGCCAACCATTACAGAAGGGCCACTGATTCAGCCTGCAGTGGCAAATTTTAGGAACAAGACAAATATCCAAGACTCGCCTTTTGACCAATCAGCAGCGAATCAAGCCTTCCAACGTGCGTTCTCGCCATGCAGGCAGCAATTTAGTGTGACGAAGGACAGCTCACATTGATGCTAATTCAGTTTGTCTCTTCCTGTTGCTTGCTGATTGAAACTGGCACAGTAAGTTGGTGTTGAAGGTTGCTGCTGTGTTTCGCAGCATCGTTTCTGCCAGTCGAGACCCTGTTTCCTGTAATCTGAACCCTGGGCCGAGCAGGGAAACCTGCAGACGCAGACCTGGGAGGGGAAATGACAAGATGCTTTAAAATTACTGCCTGCTACCCTGACTTAACTGACACACCATAGCTGTTTGTGCTTGATTAGCTTCTAGTCTTTTCTTTTTTTTTTTTTTTGCAGAGAACTAAACTACCCAGAGCAGGCTGGGACAAAATTATTGCTTTCTGTCACAGATGTAGCTCGAATAGAAAGTGACAGAAAATAAACTCAAAGCTCTTTGTAAGCATCTGGGATTGCTCACAGCGAGTGGCTGTGTTGTTAGACAGCTAACAAAATGCAACGTTTGTTTAAAAATGCACCTAAACTAATTTATACAGTATGAGAGAGGGGCTGAACGTGACCTTATATGAAAGTGTCAGAACAGGTCAAATTAAAATATGAAAAAGCTAAAAAAAATAGTAATGTGAATCTTTTTGCTCTGATGGATTGATGTTAACCATATTAGTTAATTTTAGTTTTTCTGAACTTGTCACCAGTTTGACACCAACTTGATTTATTGGGGTGTAAACTTCGTATTTCAATGAGACCTGAAAGATGAAGGGATGGAGGATGGAAGCAGCATTTCTGCATTTTTCTTACTTTCACCATCTGCTGACTCTGTTACATTTGTCTTGCTCGTTTTGCTGCTGTTCGGTTCTCTGTTCATGTGACCTGCATTATCATTAGTGCTTTCAGACAAACCGCCCCCTCCTATCCCCTCTCCTCCCCTCAGTGCTTTCTGGTGCCTCCTGGCCATGTGGAGGCAGGGTGGGACCTGCGATGGGACATCATGTAGCCCAGGAGATGGCTGCGCTGTGTTCCTTGGCCTTCATACGCAGCGCGGCGATGCTGGAGGACTTGCGGTCTGGATCAACGTTGAGGTCATAGCCATTGATTCCCCCGCCAATCCCAGCACCCCCAAACAGGCTGCCCATGTGTGTCTGTCCCATGTGGCTGCTCCCTGGGCTGGGCACACCCAGGAAGTCAGACATCCCTCCTGGAACGTGAGGGTGAGGGGGCATGCAGGAGGGAACTGAATCACATGGTACAACGCAGCCTGGCACTGGAGAGGCTCCGCTGCTGCTCCCAATCCATGAAGGGTTCTGGATCTGGAGAACAACATCAGATAGTTCAGATCTTATGACGGTGGGGTTCAATGGAAAACTCATAGATGATTATTATCTTGGCTGTTGTACAGAGCTGTTTGAATGACCTCAATTTGTAAAAGCAGGGTTATTCCAACCAGATGGAAGGAGTCACAAATAGGCTGAGACAGATTTGGGTTGCTACCATCTTAAAACAACTTCAGTCTCAAAAACCTCTGTTTTTTTGTTGTTGTTTTTTTTTTTCTTCAAATATTACAGTTAAACTTTTACATCATCAGCAATTTTGCATTACCTTCTAACAAGATTAAGTCAGGTCCTCTGGACGGATTCTTCTTGTTGAAACATTTCATCTTCTATCCAAAAGACTTCTTCAGTCTGAGGAGCTGCAGTAAACTCAGTCTTATAAATAGGTGAATAGGATGAAGAAGGTGACTGAGTTTGTTGCAGGACCTCAGACTGAAAAAGTCTTTTGGATAAAAGATGAAATGTTTCATTAAAGAAGAATCAAACTAGAGGATCTGACTCAGCCTTGTTAGATTTATCTACCTGGATTATTGAGCAGCATCAGGATATTTACATTACCTTGTTATTCTAGCAGAATTATTATTAGTACGCTGTTCGGCGTATTGTTTTTATACTGCTAGTGCTTAGTGTATTTTTAGTTAAAGTTTTTCTTAGATCATATCTTTTACATTTTATACTTTTGTTGGATGTAACTGGGACCCTGTGTACACAAGTTCGTTCCACCACATGTACCACATATGGTGTGTATGACAAATAAAGAACCTTGAACCTTGAATCCTTGAATTATATTTTTGCAGGAGGTGCATCAGGCTGTATCTGAGCTGCTGCTTCTGCGTTTTAGTAATTGAAAATAACTAAAGACTTGTAAGTAATTATGTAATGTGAAAAAGACTGCAATGTGAAGGTTGTTTTTGTAAACTGCTTTGACATGTTTGAGACAGAAGTCAATTTTAAAACAGAACTTTGTTCTTGGCCCTGCTCGGACTAGCCATTAGCACATCAGTTTGATCAAACGATTAATATTTTTCCAAATTCAGATTTCTTAAAGAACTTTCTACAACAGGTAAGATAATAAAAAAATTTTATAACAGTTTCATAGACATCTGTTTTATATCTGAACTGGTGCTTCAAGTGACTAATTGGTTTTAATTTATGTAAGTAAAAATAACAATGTGGCAAAAGTTGTTGCAAATTGTTCAATAAACCAACAGAAAATTGTCATTCAAATATTTCTCTTTAACCTTACAAAGTGTCCACATCTCAATGTCCACATAGCTGATTTTATTCAATTATGATGGAGCTGTGGAAAAAACAGGGTTAAAATTTGAATTCTTCAAAACGTTATTAATCCTGTTACTAATGGATGCACAAATCAGCACATTTTGTCAGCAGGTTTAATAACGTTTTTCATGGAGGTTTAATACTTCTATTTTATTTTTGTCTTCATAATCAAATATGCATTGAATGACATGAACCTCTAATGCACAATGAGAGAAAGACTACTTGTTTGTTACCTGTGCATAATTTTCAGGCCGAGTGAGCAAAGGCAACTCATAAGCAGTCGAGAAGTGTGTGCGGACCTGTTGCATTTGACCAAAACGCTCTCTCTTCCTCCACTTGGCTCTGCGGTTCTGGAACCACACCTGAGAGGAAAAGAGTCCATCAAGAGAAGTCATAAGGTTGACGGAACTGTGAAACCTCTTACAACAGGAATAACACAAAGTGTTGTGCAAAATAAAATATAAATAAATAAAACTAGGTAATATTCTTTGCTCATCAAGTGAAAGTAAGAAACTGAAGCACATAAATGGAATAAATTATGTCTTACATAAAAGTCCAGGCCTTCTAGTTTTATTTTCATTTATTCCATCCATCCATCCATTATCTTTTACCCGCTTCTTCCATTTTGGGTCATGGGGGTCGCTAGTGCCCATGTCCAGCAATCACTGTGCGAGGGGTGGGGGACACCCTGGACAGGTCTCCAGTCCATCACAGGGACACATAGAGACAAATGAGACAAACAACCATTCACTCTCTCACTCACACCTAGAGACAATTTAGAGATACCAATCAGTCTAACATGCATGTTTTTGGTCTGTGGGAGGAAACCGGAGTACCAGGAGAAAACCCACGCATGCACGGAGAGAACATGCAAACTCCACCCAGAAAGACCCCCGGACCGTGGTTTGAACCAAGGACCTGCTCGCAGAGAGACAGCAGCTCTACCAGTTGTGCCACCGTGCTGCCATTTTATTATTTTTTTTAATTTAACCTTTGGTTGTACCAAAAAACAGGGTACTGCTCAGAGAAGTTCAGACAGTTTCATTCAAGGGCCCTAAACTCTGGAACAATCTGCCCCTCAGCATTAGACAGGCCACTTCACTTCCTGCTTTTAAATCTCTCCTAAAAACACACCTGTTTTCAATGACGTTTAACACAGCGTTTGATTTAGTACTTTATTGTTTCTCATTGTTTTTGTGTTTTTATGTTCTTATTTTTAATGCTTTTAATTACGTCTTACTGGGTTTTTTTTTTTCTTTAATTACTGCCTTGATCTTACTTTGGTAACATCTGCTGTTTAAAATGCACTTTATAAATAAATTTGACTTGACTTTATTTATACAGTTTGTCTCACTGAGTCACCAGGACTCATTTTCAAGAGAAACCTGTTGTAGACAGGCATATAGAGTACAGAGAACAATATACAACAATAAAAAGCAATTAAAATTAAAAATAGTGTTATAAAAATACTGTTACTGTTAGCAGAGTGGTTCTGCTAGCAGTGTGGCCTATTAGCATCATGGCACAGTTAGCAGTGTGACTCTGCCTACAGCGTGGTCCTGTTAGCAGTGCTGTGCTGTCAGCAGCATGGCAGTGTGGTTATGCTAGCAGCATGGTCCTGTTAACAGAGTGGTCTTGTTTGCAGCATGGTACTGCCAGCAGCCTGGCTCTGTCAGC